ACAAAATTCAACACAATTATCAAATCCCCCAATAATATATTTGTGAAATAATTTTAAGAGTTATATAATATAAGAAACAGAAAATAAACATAAATAAAATTAAAATAAGAATCCTAACCTTAATTTTTTTTATCAATATCCTGCCACAAATAAGAAAAAAAATTGCATTGGTATACATTATGATTTTATTAAAAAGAAGAAATAAAAAGTATAAATCAAATTTAAAAGAAAATTTTACCTCATAATTATGGTATTAAAATCTACACACACACACACACACACACACACAAAAAAGAGAGAGAGAAGAAGGAACTATTAGTCTATCAAATAATAAGAATTCTTAATTTAAACTAAATTGAAGTAGTTGGATGTTGCATAAAAAAAAATGCATTGAATGAGAAGGATGAAGAAAAAGAAGATGATGGATTGTCAACAAAAAAGGATAATGAAATAAGTATAAATGAAAAATAAAATAAAACTATAGATATATACAAAAATAAAAATGGGAGAGTATAAAAGATGAAAGAAAAAGGAAAAATAAAAGGAGAAGAAGTTGAGAGAAAACCTAGGATGTTTTACCTGTGGGAAAGAAGGAGAAAGGAAGAGGTAACCAACGATGAAAAAGAGATGACAATGGGATGTTGTGATACTAGAGCCCCTATATAATGCAAATATATTCGATAGCAATCCTATCAATTATATTGAAATAAGGCTACCAAATATATTTCAAATTAAACTAGTTGGCAGATTTAATTTTTTTAGGCTAAATGGACGGGTTTCAAGTAAAATCGACAACCACTTTAGCTATCGATTATACTTATAATCGACAAAAAACGACTATCAATTATAAGTATAATCAACAGCCAAAGTGGTTGTCGATTATGTTTTGAATTTTTTATCTTTTTTATTTTTATATTTAAACTAATGTGCTATTTCTTTAAATTGATGGTTAGTTTGATTTATCTAATTCTCTCCCTTTTTTTTTCTTTTTCTTTTTGGTTTTTTTCCCTTTAGTTTCCTTTTATTGATTCTTTTATAAAATATTTGGTTTTAAGGTTAGTAAGAATCAATTTTTTTTTAGGTTATAAGTAATTATTGAAATTATCGGTTTGATAAAAAGGAAAGGTGCGCTATTTCTTTACAAAATATTATATTGTGTTTTTGTTTTCATTTTACTATAAGATTATGTTCATTTTTTTATTAATATTATATATGTTGTTAATATAAACTCTAATACTTCATAACTAAAACTAATACTTCATAACTAAAACTAATTTAAGTTATTAAATATGTACTGACTTCTCATCTTATAAAATGAGGTGGTAGAGGAGGTTAAGCAACGAAAGCAGTAGGCTTTTATTCTTAAGCCTAATTTCAAAAAGGCGTATGATTGTATAGATTGGTCATTCTTGGATTGGATGATGGGCAGGTTTGGTTTTGGTGTGAAGTGGTGAGGGTGGATTAGAGAATGTGTTTCAACTGCAAGAGTTTTGGTTTTAGTTAATGGAAGCCCTATGGAGGAGTTTATGATGGCAAAAGGATTAATGCAATGTGATCCTTTATCTTTGTTTCTTTCTTTGATGGTTGTTGAGGGTTTAAATGGCTTAGTCAAAAGGGCAGAAATGGAGTGATTATTACAAGGCATCATAGTGGGTACCAAGGGGTTAGCTATTTCTTTGTTTCAATTTGCTGATGATACGGTGATTATGGGGAAAGCTGATAGTGAGAATATTTTCATGGTCAAAACCATTTTAAGATGATTTGATTTGATGTTTGGGTTGCGGATTAACTTTAGTAAAAGCAATGTCTTTGGTTTGAATGTGTCTCAAAGGTGGATTAAAGGGGCAACAAGTGTTCTGCATTGTGATGTAGGGAAAACTCTCTTTTTTGTATTTGGGAATGCCTATTGGTGGAAAAAAGGGGAGTAGAAAGATGTGGGATTCGGTTTTGAATAAATTTTGCGTTAGGCTAGTTGCTTGGAAGTTTGTTGCTTTGTCTGTTGGTGGTCGCATCACTTTACTTAACTCAGTAATCTCTACTATTCCCATTTTTTATATGTCTTTATTTTTTATGCCAAATTGGGTGGTTTCTAAGTTGATTAGTATTCAAAGGGCTTTTTTGTGGGGTGGGGTGGGGTGGAATTAAAGAGGAAGATTCCATGGGTTAAGTGGGATTATGTGTGCACTAGTAAAAGGAAAGGAGGTCTTGGTGTGCCGGATTTGCATTGAAAAAATTGGGAATTTTTGGGGAAGTGGTGGTTTAGACTAGGTGATGGAGTGGAGGGATTGTGGAAACAAGTGGTGCAGGAGAAGTATTATGGTGGAAGGAAGGAAGTGGATATTACGGCAGTAGATAAGGTTAAGGTGTCTAGGATTTGGAGGGATAGTATTAGTATAGGGTTGCGCTCTATTAGTTTAAAGAATATGTTGGTGAAGGGTTTTAAATGGGTGGTGGGGGATGGTAGTCGAGTAGGTTTTTGGAGAGCAGTTTGGGCGAAGGAAAAGACTTTGAGAGATTTATGTCCTAGGTTGTTTGAGTTGGTGGTTCATAAGGACAGTTTAGTTAGTGAGATGGGGATTTGGGAGGAAGGTAATTGGAGATGGAATATAGCTTGAAGGAAAGGGCGATTGGGAAGAGAGAGAGATGAGGAGCTGTTGTTATGAAAGGTCTTGAGTAAAGCTCAAATTAAGGTAGGTGGTAAGGATTGTTAGCATTGGGTGCATGCTTCTGATGGGAAGTATGTGGTAAAAAAAGCTTATGAGTTTCTGGCATCTACGGAATGCATTCTGAATGATCAGTTTTGTAAGTTAATTTGGTGTCGATTAGTACCTTCTAAAGTTAGTTTTTTTGTGGGAGATTATGTCTTGAGCATCTTCCAACAAAGTGGAGCTTGCAAAAGAGAGGAGTAGTTCTAGAGGGGGTGTGGGGTATGGTCTATGGTTTGTGTAATGAGGAGGTAGAAGAATGTAATCATGTTTTTTGCACACGTAAGGAAGCGTGGTCAATATGGGTCAAGGTGTTGTTTTGGTGGGGTATGGAGACTGTGTTGCCAAATATAATGGGGGGATTAGTAGAATTTTTCATGTGTG